TTGCATTTTTAATTAAATCGTCAATAATACTTTCATTTTGCTAAAAAAAATAAATATTTAATTTTGTTTTTGTTGTTAATTTCTAATTAATATGAGATATTTACATTAAGTTTATGTTTACCAAATTCTTCAGCAGTAATACCAAGTAATGTTTCAGCTTCATGATGAAATACATTTATCCATTGAGATCCAGTATTATCGGTGATTTCAGCCTACAATAGAGATAGAGTTATATCCATCATTCACAATGAATACATACCGAAACCATATAAGCCCATTTAAAATTAGTGTATGATTTATTACATTTTTCACATCTATATGTACCATTATTTTCATCAATAACTTTTTTTCCACATCTTTCTTCAGGACACATCTATAAATTAAATAAAAACAAAACTATATTTATTTTAATTTCGACTTGTTTTTTCTCTCTCTATTTACCATATAAACAACTGATTCTTTTTTAATTAATGTACATATACCTTTAACATTAATATAATCAGGTTTATCACTTGTTCCTGTACCATCATTAGTAGCTTGAGATAAAGTTTTAAATGATGCTTGTCGATTTCCACCATCTGATCCTTTTGATAAATCAGGTAAATCCATTGATTTTCCTTCAGCATCATACCAAGCACGAAGTTCAGCTGTACGTGGTGTGTCAGATGGTTCAAGACAAATTAATGTACTATTAAAACATGATAATGATCGACCACCGAAGTCACCAATTTTAACTCCTTTCAAAGCAAGAACAGGATTTGATGAACCATTGAATTCTTCAGCCTAATAAATAAAAAAAAATTAAATTTATTATTCAAATATTTTCAAATAAGTCTACTTGTTGTCCCCATAATGTTACTGCTATTGATGCTTTTTCATCTACCAAAAGTAATTCACGTTTATTAAATTCTTTTTGTGATGCTTTACTAACAATTGTTTGAATATCTGACGTACTTTTAACAACACCAATAGTATCTAAAAATTAAATTTTAACGTTGTTCTATGATAAATGAAGTCTCTCATGATCCTACGAGTATCTAAAAAAGGATGTAAGCTCTCAAATTATTACTTATGAGACACTGGGCTTTTGTTTTGACTTAATCTCATTTTCCTCACAAGAAGTAGCTAAAAAGTTTCAGAAGTTCTCCTTATTCTTATTCTAAAACATAGTTATGGTAACAACCACCCTCAAGGTTATTTAGAAACCTTTTCTATTAAGTTTCTGATTATCTTTACTAACCACAAGTGTTATTTACTGGTCGATTAGCAATTTCACAAATTGGAATAAAATTAAATTGAACTTGAGGAATATTTTGACCATCATCAGCATTACATGCTTCAATACATGTATCATGATTCCATGTCATTTCATAATCACTCTTTAATGTATTAAATTGACGATTAGCTGGTTTAAGTGATGCTCGAGCTATATAATAAATCTTTAAAGAAAAAATTTAATTATTTTATTTTTAATTGTGAAGGATTTTAAAGATCATACTCCGCCAACTTCAAGTAAAGGATAAAATTTATCACAGTCAGCATTGAATGCTGTTGCACGAATTTCACCTGATTGATCAACAAGATCACAACTAAATAATTTTCCTGGACCACGTGCATTTTGATAATTACGAATTTGACCTTTATTACTAACACGAGCTTTAATTGTCCATCTAAAATATTATTCGATTGTATAAAAAAAACACAATTTTAAAAGAATATTTAAAACAAACTTATTCATATATGGATTAAGTGTATCAATTTCAACAATTCGTTCTTTATCAAGAGCATTACTACTTTTGGAAGCAAATCGATTATTATCATTATTTGAGTTTTTAGTATTATTTCGATCATCTAATGTTGATATTGCTTTAGATCCTTGTCGAATGACATTTGTAGTTGCAGGTACTAATAAAAAATAGAATAATTTTAATCAATATTTCCTTGTGACAAATGTTTCATACCTGCAACTGGAGAGTTTTCTGTTGCTTCTAAAATATTTTCACATAAAATAATACTTTATAAATTTCCCAAAAAAACGTTACCTATACGATTTATACTACTACCATTATTAATAATATCTGTTAATGGTAATGCAGCTGGTTGTCCAATTAGCTCGCAATCACTTTGAACTACCTCAAGTTCATGAATCATGAGCATAACTCTATAAAATAAGAATTTTATTAATATTATTTTTACTTTTTCAAATCTTATACCGTCCATTTTGTTTATCAATTATATTAACCATAACACGATCAATACGTACAATAGAATTTTCTTTTAAAGAATTTGTTTCAATTAATTTATTCATTTGTGTACCAAGCATACATGCTAAATATATGTATATATTAATAATAAATACTAATAAAGGAATTTCTTACATGAAAATGTACTTTTTCCATCAGATAACATCAAACGATAACGTTTCATAGCTGTTGACGAATCATCAGTTTTACTATCAATTGTTTTAATACCCTAAAAAAATAATTTTATTAAAATTAATTTTAAATAAAATACATACGGCAACTTGTAATATCGCTTTTTCCGAAGTATTTTCACGTAAATATCTCTAAAGAAAAATAAATATTTATAAATCACATATTCAAAAGAAATTTACCAAAAGAGCACCGGTTGTAAGTCGTGGATTAGTCATTTTTTTAAAACTATCTGGAATAAACATATTATTTTAAATATTAAAATTTACAATTAAAAACAATTATATTATTAAAAATTATTCAAAAACACAAAAAAAAAGATTAAAATCCATTTTGAATATTTGCAATTAAACGATGACCATATTCACTAAAATCAATATCACTAATCGATATACATGAGATTTTAACTGTAGTTATATCCTAAAAATAAATAATTAGAATTTTTTAAATGAAATCTAAGATTTACATTGAATGTTTCTTCATTGATACGTAAACGAAAGATTTTTTCACGGAAAGTATTTTTATTCAAATACTTTTGCATAAGTAATTCATTAGCCTAGAAAACTAAATAGAAATTTCTATTAAATATTTAATCGAATTACATTCTCTTTAGCATCAGCGAATTGTTCGGCTGTTACATAGCCCATAAGTTGTTCAGCTGGTTGTCCAAAAAACGAAGCCCAAATTGCACCAGTAGAATCAGTAAGTTCAGCCTAAATATAAAGAAAATTGCAATTATTTATTTGTGGGTTTAAAGAACTTACACGAAACATATAATTCCAATGACATTCATTAAAATCTTGTTGACATTTATCACACCGATAAAGAGCCGATGATAATTTATTCACTTTCTTTGAACAGCCATCATTTGGACAACTCTATAAAATAGTTTATCCGAAATCCTTATTTATGAAAAGAAAATAACAAACCATATAAATAACTCGATTATCTGCTATATGCATACATGTAGCTTTTAACATGACATAATCTGGTCGACCTTTTCTACCAAGTTCTTCATTTTCAATTTGTCCAATTGTTTTCCATGATGCTAAAAAAACAAACAATATATTTTTTATCATAATAAAACTAAATTTCATGATTAACCATCTAATGCTGGACGAGTTGGTGTTGTTGTTGTTGTTGTTATCTGACTATGCATTGAATGACCTCCAGCATCATACCATATTCTTAAATGTTTCGCTTCTTTAAGATCTGGATTAATTTTCATAATCATATTTTTACTACCAGATAAACTATATTCTAAAACAGAAGATTTATGTTTACGAAAATATGGTTATATTATTTTTTGTCTTTACTGTTATTATAAATAGCGACTCGAATACGTCGAAATGCAACAACAGTTTTATTTTCTGCTAATTCTTCATCGAAATCTTCAGCCTACAATATTTAAAAAAAAATCAATTTTCTTTGTAGAATTAATTCAATAAATTTTACTTGATCATCCCATAAAGTTACAGACATACTCGTATGTTCATCAATTAATGTTAATTCTCGACGTTTTGAATCTTTACCAGATGTTTTACTAGTAAATGGAATTGCATCCGAACATGTATCAATAATACCGATAACATCTTTATTTAATAAAATAAAATAATACAAAAAATAAATAAGAAGAAAAAATATTCTACCAATATATGATTCGCTGGTATGTTTTGAAACATCTCGAAGTGGAATAAAATCATAATGTACATCAGGAATACTAGTATTTACAGAAGGATCATTAACTAATCGAACAATTGAACCTGAATTTAGTGTTAATTCATAATCATTATGAAGAGTATTCCAACGTTTATCTGCTGTTTTTACTCGTACACCCATAATATCATAGATCTTAATGAAAGAAAAAATTATTATTAGTTTGTTTTGTTTTGTAATTACTTTATCTATTTCGATCATCGGATGAAAACGAGTACATTCACCACGAAATGCAACTAGTCGAATTTCTCCGCTGGCATCAACGAAATCAAAATCACATACAGGATGTGGTCGAATTGCACTCTTAGCAAAACATCGTGCACGAATTTTCCATCTTTAATAAAATAAAGATTTATATATAATAGTTATTACAAAAAAAATATATTACACTCCGTTTAAGTACGGTGTGATCATCGCTATTGGACAAATATTTGTATTCGCTTGTTTATTATTATTATTATTATTTGAAGTTGTTGTTGTAGAAGATTCAGGTAAAATGATTAAATCCATAATTATTAAAAATGATCTATTCAATATTCAAATGAATAATTTACGTATAATGAAAAATCTAACATACTTTCCAGTAGCTGTTGAATTATGTACAACTTTTTCAAGTTGAACAATGGAATTGTCATGTAAACGTTTTTCTTTAATCAATTTATTTAGGTCAGGTGATAATACACAAGCATCAAACGTATCTTGACCGTCGCTTATTGATAAACGATAACGTTCACTATCATTACTTGCTGCTGTAGAAGATTCACCACATACTCGAACGTTCTTTAACAGAAAAAAGGAGAAAATATTTTTTTCTTATTTAGATTAATGTTCATACAGTGATTTTAACAATTGGTGATTGTTGAGTATCCCCAGTTTTATAACGCTAAAATATTTAATTTATTAATTAATAAAAAAGAATCAAATTAAATGATAGAACATTACCGCAATAGATCCTTTAGTTAATTTCGTTGATGCCATTGTGTCAAAAGC